CTTAAAGGTGTCCAAAAGGAGGCATGAACAGGAAGAAGAAAGGATTAGTGAATCTGAATATAAGGTGATTGAAATGAACCAATGTGAGGAGCAGAAAGCAAAAAAAAGAATAAAGGCTTGGATCTAGCTCCGTGGCAGAGCTTTTGCCTCGCATGTGCAAGATCCTGGATTCCATCCAGCACCACACACACACACACAAGGACGAAGTAAATGAACATAGCCAGACATGGTGGCACACGCCTGTAATCCCAACACTCAGGAGACTGAAGCAGGAGGATCTCTGTGACTTCAAGATCAACCTGAAGTACGTAGACCTGGTCTCAAAACAAAAACAAATGAACAGAGCCTGAGGAACCTATGAGACATTGTCAAGTGTACGAACTAATCCAACACAGGAATTCCAGGAAGGCACAAAAGGGGTAGAAAAAAGTTTAGAAAAAAAATGTTTGAAACTCCTCCAATGTGATGGAAGATAAGAAGGTCAATAGTGGATAAACCTGTAGCTAGACTAAGAAAAAAAGACGGAAAACTACCAGACCCGGTGACGCAGGTTTGTAATCCTAACACTCTGTTAGGCTGAGGCTGGGGGATCACAAGTTTAAGCCCAGCCTGGGCAACTTAGTGAGACCCTGTCTCAAAAAGTTGAAAATTGTAAATGGCAGGCCCGGGGTGTAGCTCAGTGGCACAGTGTGAGGCCCTGAATTTGATTCCCAGTAACCCCCACAAAAAAACTGAAAATAGCATGAGGATGTGTAATGCAAAGAAAGAAGACAGAAAGAGAAAGAAAATCAGAATGAGAGTGAGCACTTTACTACTGATTTTACCTAAATAAGAATTATAAGAGAATGTCATAAACATTTATACATTAATAAATTGGGCGACCCAGAGGAAATAGACAAATTCCTGGAAACGCATATTCCACCAAAACTGACATAAGAAGAAATAGAAAAATCTAAATAGTCTCATAACTATGTTAGTTGGGACGTTGAATGTGAAAAGAGAAAGAAACCAAGAAACCAAGAAATTCCAAGACCAGACGGCTTCACCGGGAAATTCCACAAAACATTCAAAGAATGAACAACAACTCTCCTCAAAGTCCTCCAAAAATCTCAGAGGCGGAAGGACTCCTTACTCATTCTGTGAGACCAGCGTTACACCGACACCACAGCCCAAGGCGGTGATAGAAAACTTCGGTACGGTGTCTGCAATGGAGGCATCAATTTTTCTCCCTCTGGACTCACACAGCTCCAGAGGCTCAAAGACAGAAGAACGTTTGGCTCAGGGGTCGACAAAGTATAAAATGTCCACTGCCCTTGTCTACAGAGGCTTTTGTGGTTCTTTTTGTGGTACAATTTATTCTTACGTCCATTTCAGTACTATGCATCCGGCCCTATTCTAGGACTGGGGATTCAACCAGAGAAAAAGGGACAAAATCCCTTGCCCTTGCACTGGGTCAAGGGGTAACAAAATAAATAGATAAATGTTATTATACGGCGATTCATGCGACAGGAAAAATAGGCCAAAGGAAGATAAGAGCGTCAAGGGGAGGAGCAAGTTCAGAGAGGTGGTCAGGGACACCCTTCTGAGAAGGTGGTAACTGAGCAGAGGCCACAGGGAGTAGGAAGTCTGTAAAATGCCTGGTTGATACTATTCAAAACTGTCAAAGTCGTAAAAGACAAAAGATGAAGGAACGGTTACAGTCTAGAGAAGACATCACAACCAAATGCAGTAGGGAACCCTGGATATGATCCTGGAACAGGAAAAAATACCTATCAGAAAAATTGCTAAAATTCAGTTGAGGCCAGGGGTGGTAGCACATGCTTGTAATCCCAGCCCTTGGGAGGCTGAGGCAGGAGGATCTCTATGAGTTTTAAGCCAGCCTAGGCTACACAGTGAGTTCAAGGGCAGCTTGAACTACATAGAGACTGTCTTATTTTTTTGTGTTGTTGTTGTTTTGTTTTTGGTACCGGGGATTGAACTCGGGTCCTTGTGCTTGCAAGGCAGGCAGTGGAACCACCGAGCTAAATCCCCGGCCCTAGAGACTGTCTTTTAAAAAAATGTTTCAGTTGAGGTTGGTCGTGGTTTTTGTTGCTGTTGAGGTGCTGGAGCTTTAACCCAGGGCCTTTACACTGAGCTACATCCCGGACCTTTCAAAATTTTTGAAACAGGGTCTCACTGAGTTGCTAAGTTGCTCGGGCTGGGATGGAACTTTCAGTCGTCCTGCCTCAGCCTCCCAGGGTGCTGGTATTACAGGTGTGCACAGCCGTGCCCTGATTGGCACTTTATTAATAATAGGATACCAGAGCTAATTCCTGGTTGTGATCATTATGCTATGATACTAACATTAGGGCGAGCAGCATGAGAGACAATCATGACCTCTGTGTCGTATTGGTACTTTTTCTGCGAGTCTAACACTAGCCAGCTTTGCAGCTTCCGTCTCACTCTGGGCTCACTTGCCCTGGGGAAATCGTGCCATACCATGAGGACACTGTGGAGAAGACCACACTGCTCCGAACCAAGGCCTCCTGCAACAGCCAGCGCTGTTTTCCCAGTGTGTGAAAGGGGATCCTCAACCCCTTTCAACAAGCTCAAGATTGGAGCCCTGGCCCTTGCATGACTGGGACTGTAGCCAATATCTTTGGTCCAGAACCATCTGGATAAGCTACTCTTGAATACCCTACCCACGAAAAGTTGAGATTATAATAAATGTTAACCGCTTGAGTAGCTCAGATTTTTCGGTCTTAAATCTAGAAAATTTCTGCTGCAAAACATGGCCACCCGGTGGCGCCTAGGTTCCAAGGATAGAAACACAGGCTGCCAATATCAATGGTTCATTATCCCTGAGTTCCTTTACAAAATTTTCGTCCTCCCAATAAAAATATCACCATTTTATTTCCAGAGCTAGACAATTTAATTATAAGGTTCATTGGAAAGACAATAGGCAAATATAAAGGGAAATAAAGACAAAAAAAAGCAGATGCCACCGCTGCTAATAAAGGGGGTCGTTCTATCACATTAAATTAAAAACAACGTAAACAGGACTGGGGGTATAGCTCTGCGGTACACTGCTTTGGCAGCACGCATGAGTCCCTGGGTTCAATCCTCAGAACCTCCAAAAAGCCCAATGCGTATAAACAGCATGTTTGTTATTGGTGCAAGAATAAGCAGACAGATCAAAGAAAGGATTAGCAAATTCAGAACAGAAACCATCGCTTATTTCAAAATTATAAAAATATGACCATACAGCAGGAGTTTCTTTAGTTTAAAGGTGGACTTCGGTGGAGATTTTTATTCAGTAGTGTTGGAATAACTACATAACCACGTGAGAAAAGAAATGCTTGAATCCATTTCTTACATGGCCCATCTGATTAAATCCTTAGTGTGCCAAAGATATAAAAGAAACAAACAAAAAAATCTCACAAATAATAAGACACTGTTTTCTTATGGACTGTAAGTCGATACATTTTCCAAACTATTAACCAAGAGCCAGAAGCAACAAAAGAAATTTTTGAGCCAGCTGTGGTGGCACACATCTGTGATCCTAGCACTCAGGAGGCTGAGGCAGGAGGATTGCTGCAAGTTTGAGGCCAGCCTGGGCTACGTAGTGAGTTCAAGACCAGCTTGGACTACATAGCGAGACCCCCATCTCAACCACACCCCCAAAAAGAAACTTTTGTTGAGACCAAACAAAAGTGAAAACCTTTTACATGTTAAAAAAACAAAGACAGGGCCGGGGATTTAGTTCAGCGGTTTGGTGGCCTGCCTTGCAAGAGCAAGGATCCGAGTTTGATCCCCAGTACCAAAAAAAAAAACCAAACCAAAACAAAAAAAACCCCAAAAAACAAAGACAACACTGTGAGAAGCTAGACATAAGGATTGAGGCCCAGTTGATCTTCCTTGTGGACACAAAAGAGGGAACAGCTTGCTGACATGCTGACTCACTGCACATTGAGAAGTCAACAGCAGCTGAGATCTAATTTAGAGAAATACTTACCAGGGTACACTTTGCAAATAATGAGAAACAGGTGAATTTTCCATTAATCTAATTGCTTCCTCCCTTGCCTAAGCAGAATGAAAGTGAGGTGAGCAGGCCAAAGATTCAGCTCAGTGGTTCCATCGCCTGCTGTGCAAGGGCCCGAGTTCGATCCTCAGTACAAAAAAGAAGCGAGGTGAGCCAAATGTTCCAAGCTCTTGTCCACTAGAAGAAAGAGACCCCTGGCCTCTGTTTCAAAATTATCTGTGTCTTGTCTTTAATCTCTGTTTATCCCCTCCAGTTCAGCATTACACAAACTAAAAACTACAATGAGAAAAATATACAACTTGTGTCAGAGATTAGAGAGCTTCCTAAATATACAATACAAAGAGGTAAAACCTCCATAGAGACAAAGAAATGTTATGGATCTGAGGTGGTGGATGTGCCAATGACCCCATTTGACCTTTACACAATGCACACAGGTACTGCAATCCCACACTGGGGCTGGGGAGGGAGCTCAGGGGTACAGCCCTTGCCTGGAATGCAGGGGGTCCTGAGATCCACCCCCAGTGCTGGAAAATAAAAAAAAAAAAGAAAGAAAGAAAGAAAGAAAGAAAAGAAAAACAGAGAGAGCCGGGCATGGTGGTGCACCACTGTAATCCCAGCATTGGGAGGCTGAGGCAGGAGGATCACTGTGAGTTCGAGACCAGCCTGGGCTACATAGTGAGTTCCAGGTCAGTCTCAACTACATAGTGAGACCCTGTCTGAAAAAAACAAAAGCG